TTATATAAAAATTGATTCAAAAGTAAAATTAATAAATTATTAAAAATTACATATATATATTCTATTTTTTTTTTTAGATGTTTCCTTATATTGATAATATTCATGGAAAATGGCATTTTAATGAAATACGAGCTATATTTTCAAGACGATATCTTTTACAAGATAAAGCATTAGAAATATTTGTTTCAAATAGAAGTATGAATTAAATAGATTATTTTTTTTTCTTAAGTTCATTTAAAATTATACTTTATAGACTATAAAACTTATAAATAATAACATTTTTCATTTGAGCAAGAAATTATCTATCCTTATTTATATAATAACTAGATTTTTGGAGGTTTTTTTCTTTTGTTTTTTTTAAATAGTTCAATTTTGATAGTTCCAATAATATTGAAGATGAAATGAATTTGATTCATATCCATAGGAATCCTTTCTTTCCTTTGGTATAACCTGAAATTTGTTCAAGCATGCGTCAATTTAGTAATCCTTAATATATATATTTATAGATAATATGGTAAATTAGATTTATTGGTCTTGCTATGAAATTCTCTTGCGAAAAACCTCTAGCTTATTGCTATACTTCTACATATATTTTTTTTAAATGAGTAATATATTAAGAGAAAAAATGATTTTTGAATTTTGCATAGGAACAAGCCTTTATAAGAATGATTTCTTATGAAAGTTTCAATTCTTCTTGTTCTTCATATTCTAAAATATAGCTATAGCAACTAATACTTTCACAAAAAAAAACTTCTTATTAACTCTTAAAAGTCAAAGGAAGGTTTTTCTTGCAACAGAAAGAAAACAACCACAAAAATTGAACTGATGAATTCTTAATACACTCATACTTTGTTCTTAATCTAGAATTTACATAATGCCCTTAATCATATTATATAATTCTTAAATTGTTCTCAAATTTTCAGTCAAAACTGATTCTTTGTTCTTGAGATATTGAACATAGAAAAAAATCGGCAGCATTTTACCAAAAAACTCATAAAATCCAACTTCTCTTCAACATGTTGTATTTCCAAGAGTAAATAATAATTGTTTATTGAAAAATTTCACTGTAATCTAAATAGCATGTCAGTTATTTATAAGTCAAAATCCCTTTGTTTCAATTTTTTCTTGAGGCAGAATATCCCTTCGAAGGAACATTGGATTCTTAAGGGTTAAGATTTGTCTCTACGCAAATTTTCAAATCAAAATAATCTAACAGATATTTGTATGAAAGATTGAATTATTATTTCAATTTATAATTTTCTGTTTTATTTTTGTTATAATGTACTTTTGTAAATTTGTATTTTAGCAAGTGTTATGTTTGCATTTATTGATCGTTCAATTGTAAAAAAAGTTGTAAACTTTTTACCTCGAGTTGGTGTTGGTGGTCGTTATGGTTTACCACAACAACGGTTAGAATAATTATTTAATAATATTTATTTTTCTATTAATTTTATTTAGACGAACATCATTAGCATCAGCAAAACAATTATTTCGTTCAGCAAATATGACTCAACGATGGCAAAGACGAGAAATTTCAAATTTTGAATATCTTATGTATCTTAATACAATTGCAGGTATAATTAAATAAAGATTAAAAATAAAAATTTTGTTACATCTAAAATATTTTTTAGGTCGAACATATCAAGATTTAAATCA